ATTTATCAAAATTATATACTTTTTTTACTCTATTTACCTATTCTTTATCCTCATACTATTTACCTTTTATTTTATCAAATTTGTTTGAAAAAAAAATTTATTTGACCAATGAACAATTTATTTTTTCGATCTTGGCAAAATGACTACCAGAAGCGTCACGGGACTGTTCACGGGACTTATGTATTTGGAGATTTGATTAGTCATTGAAATGTATTACGTTATAAAAAAAGAGTACCTTATCTTGGACCCCCGGATCCTGCCCAATCCATGGCATAAAAATTAAGTTCTAGACCTATACATAAAATTGAAATTTATTAGCAATTAAGCCCAACCTATGTCAATAATGCAGGTAAACTTACCAAATTGAAGCCACCCATATATAATTAAATTCGTACGTTTCTCAAATGATACGTATTTACATTCTTTTAGAAGTCGGTTTATGTTGTCTCGCATTATTATCGTGAGCTTTACCTTGTCCAGGTAACGTTTTGCAACAAGCAGTAGGTATTCCAAGCGGACCCAATCTCCCTGACACTTCTCCATAAATAACTTCGAATTTATTAGACGTTTTAATAAGAGTACTTTCATATCTACACGTCTTCCTATTCGTGCCTTTTTAAATGGACTTTTTTTTTCGTTACGTGCATAGTTTGTAGATAAAGCCTGGATTCCCCCCCTGGATATATAGAACGGTTATTATTAGTTCCGAATATTTGAAATATACCCTCATAAACAAAAACAAATGATTTATCAAGCATTTTTAATCCTATTGGAACCGAACACTCCGCGAAATAATGGAAATGTCGAACTCATTTTTAGCTCTTCCTCCGTCATCATTCCTTGGAAACTAGATGCATCGCTTTTCCTGTGCAGCAATCCAGAGTCAGAATATTATGCCCAGATAATAAATATAATAAAAACTTATACATACATAAACTGGATGTTTATATCTAGTTTTCCAATATTGTCTGCATTTTTTTCACAATTATTATCAAAATATTCTCGAATGTGCTTTTCCGGGGGCATTGTTTTCCAGGAAATTTTGTTGGAAAAATCTTGCGAAAGTTGATTTATGTCTTTTTCTGTGAGGTGTTTACAATCATATAAGCTTTCTCTCGTTAAGTCCAGAACTCCCCAATACGCAGGTCTATTGGATGAAATAATAGAAAATATCAAATAATTAAGCTGTTATTGAAAACAATGGTAGATGACATCAAACTTACGTAAAAATCCTGCGAGATTTTGGAATCGTCTTTTGATATTTGCAAAAGGCTTCAACGGTATTCGCATCCAGGTTTTTTTGTTGATCCTATTGAGGATAAGATAATAAGCTTACTGAATATAGACTTCCTACTGTTAACATTAAGGTTTACCTCATTGCCACTTGCTTGTGGTAGTGCGTCCTCTTGCTCAAGTGTTTTTTCATCAATAACTTCCACAATGGAATCCTCGTTTGATTCATCAAATAGTAATGACAATCCCTCGTAATCTATCTCATCTTCGTCTTCATCTCTATTTCTTTTATTTTTATATGCTGACCTTCCATTCTCTTGAGGTCTTTCGGAATCAACGTTTTCACCTTCCGATCCCTTAGATACAAAAATTAAAATTAACCATTAGAAGTATAGAAAAATCCAGTTATTTGTAACCTACATTATGAAACTGGTTTGATTCTGATGCGCCATTATTTCCTGTAAGTAATTCGAATTCAGTCTAAAAAAAACTATACCAATTAGCAATTATTTGTTCTTCACAATAACCGGACAACTCACTTAAATATGAATACTATACCTCGTCTTTACTGTCTGTTATGTCAAAAATTACCGATTTTTTTTCGGAAGGAGTTTGATCGATCTCGTTGTCCAAATCCTACAAAAGGAATAAAAATTATAACTAACATAACTAACATAAGAATAACAAACAGTAATAAGAGAAACTTACAGCGTAAACATCAGATCTTTTATTCGTTTGATCATTTTCTTTTGCTGTTTGAAAATCGATTCGCGTTTTATCTGTTTTAATTACCCTTTCCTAAACAAAACATTATGTTAGTAAAAAAAAAGATTCAAGTATAGCCTGAAAAGATCACTTCTTACTTTTGCTCGTAATCTCCTTATATGTATTAAGGTATCTCCTATGGTTTTCAAACAATTTTCTTTCAGGTAAGATCGTTTAGAAAACATATTAATTGGATTGTAGTGAGAAGAAACTATGATCAAATAATAGAATGCCTTATATTCCGTTTATTAACGATATTGTGGACATACTGCACGACGTCATTGTCAATGCATCTGATTATAGTTATATCAGTGAGACTTTGACTATACATATCAAACACTTGTTGTGGTGATATGATAGGATTTTCTTCATAGGTGAATCTTGTAAATAAGTCGATACAATTCCACTTGATCAAAAATGTTTTAGCGAAAAATTGACTTATTCCAGAGTGTGGTCGACAAAATTTTGCATCCAGTTTGAACTTATCAATTTTGGTCATCTATTATTCATAGAAAGAAGTTTAATTAATCAGCAGTAATAATGAAGTTCATATGCCAATAATTCTTGTAGCCTCCATCCGAGTACAAGTTATTCAGTCGCAACTATGTGGTTGAATACATAGAAGTTCCAGGCAATCTCTTAACATATAACTTTAGCTATCCCTTTCGTGTTGAACGATCAGGTAGAAAAAGCAGACCTCCTGAACACAGACCAGTACTCTCCCAAAAGTAAGCTCTTTCCACCAACCACCCATCTTACACGTGTGTTGAACACGGAAGATTTGCACGTAAACCCTGGAGGATTACATTCCAGCATTCCTGTCTGTCTGACCAGTTGTCCACCCTGTCGTGTTGAACTCCAAGGCAAAGTCTGGTGGTCCCCGTGCAACAAAGGTGGCGTGTGTACATTGTAAACAGAAATTAATAATACCTAACCTTTAACTTTACACGCGAGTAAGGTAGAAAAATAAAAAGAATTTAGAAAGTCTGATTTTGATTGACGTTGTTACACGAATATTTATATTAGTTTTACAATTGAATTTTCACGAAAATATCACTCAGAAAGCTGTAAAAATATATACTCCGAATGCATGCCTCATATTTTGTATCAATAAAGCGAATTTATTTTTGTTTTATATATTAACTCGCATATGATCAAGAATTTGTCTTGGCAAAAGTGATCGGTGTGAACGCGCACATATTTAAATTAAAGGCATTGAATAACAAAACCATTTTTCAAGACGTTACAGTAAAAATCTTTTTCCAAACATTCGTGTCAAAGTTATATAAATTAATGTTAAACATGCAAACTCAAAGAAACGAATCAAAAGACTTGCCAGAAATGAGTTATTACTAGAATTAAATTCCAAGCTTCAGGCTGAGATAGATAAACTTACAAAAGAAAAAGCTGAATTCTTAGCTAAGGGGGTGGGGCTTATTGCTAAAATAATGGAATTAGAACAATCCGCAAAAGAAAATGTTGAGAACGCGAAGTTATGAGATGCTGAACTCAGTGCCAAAATAGAACAGATGGCAAAAGAAAATGCTGAACTTAAATCTAGAGTTGCGAAATTAGAACAGAGGCAGTTGCAAAATGATGAAAAGAGCAACTTTATTGCTAAATCAGATGATAATATTAGGGAAATCAAGCAATCTTCAGTTAATATCTCATCTACCGGAATGGAAAATTCTAATGATACTCACGCTTCAAATTCTGATGAACTCAATAATGCTCCAAATTCTGATGTATCTTTTGAAGATAAAGAAATCGAATTTCTGGAATGGGTACATAAAGAACAGATTAGAAATGGTATAAGAGAGAGAAACCGGGAAAAAAAGCTATTACAAAATAATGAAGAGCCTACTTCTCAAGATCAAGATCCGATACAAAAGAATTATACACCCCAAATCAATCAGAATGTTTTAGAAGAACCTCAAACACAAAGTACCATTTCCTCCAAAATAAAAATTCCCTATAATCAGAAAGTAGAACAAGGTTTATTACATGAGTTATTTGAATTTATTAGAGGCACCGATTCCATGTCCTTACAAAATCTAAAGAAAACTCCATTGAATTCTAGCTTCATTAAACAAATTTCGGACATTCCTATTGATATAGATCTAACTCCAGGTTCAATTATTTGGCAAGGTCAATAAAAAGAAAAATTGCAATGGTATTATTATAGTGAGGAATATGAAAAAAAAGTTTCGAATCTTAGTTCAGAAAAAAAGATTAGTGATCAAATGGAGATAACACAAATCTATAATGAAATGATACAGTATCTACCTGGAATCAAGAGAGAGTATTTGCGTAAGATAACTCAAAAGGCTAGAACTATCTATACATTATTCAACGGGATAGGAAAAGATAAAATTGAGTACATTACAAACAGTGTTGATGCTGTTTCTAGTTTAACCAGTACACAAATTCAAAATATTATAAATCTTTATACTAAAGAATTAGATGCGAAAATATCATCGTTTAAATCTCAAAAATTGATCGGTGTGAAGAATTCTTCATGTGCACATGGCCAACTGAAATCTGATATAGAAACTAAAGTATGTGAAGAAACTTTACCAAAAACTGAGGTATGTATTACAACCACTCCCTCTATCTTGTCATCTCAAATCTCTAGCCACTCTGTGACTGCCTTCAGCAATTCAGAAGATATAGTAAATGAGAATGGCGAATTTTCAAAAATCGTAAATGTATTTGATGGCTTTTTAGATTCTAACTCTGATAGTAGTGAGGATGATGAAAACAACGAGTTTTTAGGTGAAGAAGATAAGGTAAATACTTCATCCAATTCAGTTTATTACTGTGCATATTTCCGTAATAAAATGGAAAAACAATATTCTGATTTATACTGGAAAGGTAAAGATGGAAATAATGATTATTATGGGATTACAGATGAATTTTTATGCCCGTTATGCAAGTCAGATCATTATGAGGATAAAGGTATAGAAGACAGATATAAAAATGGATCCTATTTTATTAAATGTAAACAGCATGGAATTAAAATCAAGATAATAGTATAAACTCACCTTCTCATGATTGCATCTCTCGAAACTAGAAAAAATAAATAGCGGGAATATATTATTAATATGTCAATATCTATTTTTTTTTATCATATCATTTATCTTTTTTTAAACTAGGAGAAAAAAGAGTTTTTCTAATGTAAATTATTTTTTGTTGATTATTATCACTATTAATTTAAAAGGATAGGATCATATAAAATGAAAACATGGATAAACAAACAAATACCAGGCCCTTAGAGGTGATTCTACAAGTCATAAAATATTAACTTCTAAATATTTAAAGTGAGAAGCCAAATTAGAATTACCAAGCATTTTGTTAGATAAAACTCATTCTAGGTTTTATAATAAATATAAGAATAAAACTGCTTAATCCCTGGATAAAACTGGACTTAATCCTGTGAAAGGTAATTATCAGTTTTTTTAATTTGTATAGGTTCTGAATTTTCAGAGTTCATCTAGAAATTGTGTTATTAAAATTTTTAAGTTTCCAGAAGATAAAAATACAATCCTTAATATAGTATATAAATATTTTCTTTTCTTGTTATATACTAAATCAAATATATAACATTGGAATATTTTTAAATATACTGATTTGGAAGTCAAATACCCAATATATAAAGAGGTACATATACATTTAGGAATATGGGATAACTGGAGCTGTTTAGATAAAACAATCACTATTTTCTCAACTGTCCTTTTCATATTAATCAAAAGAAAATTATAATTGCCATGTAGAGTTTGCCAGAAATTCAAGTAAAAGTACCAAACAAAATTCATCTTTATCACACCAATATGTTATTGAACATGAAATAAACTTTAAGAAATTTCTGATCATTATAGAGATTGAGAAAAATAGGTGAGTCATGAAATGTTTTCGTGAAAATTTGAAAAGAAATATGTGCTTTTATCATGGAGGAATAAAAAAGAATGAAAATACCAGAAAATACTATAAATTTTTAACAGATCAGAATAAACTAGTTGGTGTTACAAAATGAAATTATCATGATCAAAAATTATAGTATCCAATACTAAAAACATCTGCAAATAATTAATAATAATTTTAGAAAATAGTAGTATTTAAAAATTTAATTAGTAAATATTAACTTAGGCATTAGGAAATTTTTGGAAGTAAATATATTCAAATATTTTTCAGTTAGAAAAAATCCAAATAAATTTGCAAATTTATGTAAATATATTTACATACATTCAGATTTTTTCAATTCTCAAATATCTGGAACAAATATATTTAGATATTTTTCGATTTAAAAAAAATCTGAATATATACAAATATATTCATATAAATTTACAAATTTATCTGGATTTTTTCAATTCTCAAATATATCTAAATATTTTTTGGTTTAGAAAAAATTTGAATAAATTCATAAATTTATGTAAATATATTTGCATATTGGATTTTTTCAATTCTCAAATATCTGAATATATTTAAAAATTATTTGAAAAATTCGTAGGATATTTAATAAAAAATGATATTGAAATTCTATTTTTAATTTTTTAAAGTTATGATCTTTAACAAATTTTTAGATAGATAAAAATCTATTTAGTTTTAAAAAAATCATTGGATAAAAAACATGCTAATAATTTATTTTGTTCATTTAGTTTCACAAATTTATGTTTTATTTATGTTATATTCGTTTTTATTTACATTATCAATTATGTAGCAGTTCTCGTCTGTTGACATAATTTACCGCAGTAGTTTTACGTAGACATTTCTAATTTTCTTTTTCTTTTTCTTTCTTTTTCTATTTTTCTTTTATTTATATTATTAATGATTTCACATGAAGAATCAGGCTGAAAG